ACAGAAAACTGAAAAAAAAAAAACAAGCAACGATAATGCCACACGCGACGTTAAACAAGCAAAATGCCTCCGAAAGGCGCCGAATTCTCATGACCCGGAAACACAAAAATTCCACCGATAACAAAAATCTCTCACCGACGATAAAATTACGAAAATAGTGCCAACATCCACATGCAGCCGAATTTAACCTCACTCACATTTTTCATGAACCAAAAACAAAAAGTACACGAACGTCGGCTTAATCAAAGGATAAAATAAGCCGTGAGCTTTCATATACTGTATAATTTCTACTCCCCCATGAAAAAATTGTGGAGGCTACAAAAAAAATTTTGCAAGCTTCACACGAACAAATACTAAATTCCGTGTCTCGTAAGAGTCTTCGCTACATTCTGCGCTACACCGACGAGAACGAAAAATTCGCGCAATAGAAACCGTGACGAGGAAAAACTTTTTGCTCTCAAAAAGTTTCGAGATAACTTTTTCACAAAAAAAAACTGCACATCTGGCGTCAGAAAACTGAAACTTCGTATAATACCGGTATGAGCTCTTGAAATATGACACAAAAATGCAATAAAGCTGCTTCAAAGAAAAAACCCCGCCGTTCGGGGGTCAAAGCCATACGACAAAAATTATAGAGAATTATTATTGAACTAATACTGTATCCAGGAGCGTTTCGAAAAGATTCGCAAGCAAATATGACAGTTTTATTGCCAATGAAGAGGACTGAATAAAAGGTAGAAAAGCATCCCTGTCACTCTTGAAAGATGTTTCATACACTGCTTAAAATACCAAAATTTGAGGTCTGATTCACTTTTTTCTCTTCTGTCTAGATAATTTTGTTATTCGTACATTCTAATCAATGATACAATTTTCTCAACAAAAAGACATACTTTTCTTACTAGAAAAAAAGGATTTTCAGCGCGGATAACTTGATTCTAAAACACAAGTACAATAATCACTACCTCGTACTTTTGTGTAATTTCCGAACGAAAAAAAAAAAAATCTTGACGCTTGCACTCAGCGTGAACACCGCTCACGTATTTCAAGTTGAAAACAAAAAATTTGAACATTTTTCATCTCGTTTGAATTGACTGCTTTCAAGTAGTTGCTTTGTTCAAGTAGTGTTCATTTGTACCTATGGTAAGTTCAAGCACAACTACCTCATCATTTCCCCTTTCTTTCTGAAATCAGGCTCGTCCTAGGACAGCAAATATTTTCCGATACAGACGCAGATTTAGGATACGTGTACAGGTTCATTTCATCCTTTCCGAGAACATGGAAATTTCGAATGCGAACAAAATCAATAGGAATTGTTTCAGGAATTGTCTTCCCAGTTACCCTACTTCCAAGGATTCACTCAAAAAGACTCTTCGGGTTCATTTCTTGCCCCCGAAACGTTTCTCACTCGCATTTCTGGGATCGCTATAGTTTCAAGATTACAGTATTTGAGCTTCATTTTACCAGGCAGTGAAATTGGCAGCGCAAACCAGCTTCCTTCATCGATCTCCAAATAAATAATACATGATCTGTTATTTTTTTTAACGGTTTTCAAATTTTTCAGGGAGGATTTTTTGCAATGAAAATTGACACGATTGCATCTAGTTGCGAGATGTTGAACATTTGACCAGGCAATGAAAATAGCAGCAGAAACCAAGGTCCTTCCTCGATCTCAAAATCAAGAATACACGATCTGTTATTTTTTTCAAATTTTCTTCACGGGTCTCGAACTTCCCAAATAGGATTTTTTCGCCATGAAATTGACTCGAATGCAGGTGGTGGAACAAGATGAAATTTGTGTCTATGAATCCTGCCAGGGACCTCCAGCAAGAATTGAACAACCGTATCTCTTGCTAGAAATTTTTCTAGAGAAACATTAAACAGAACCAATGAAAAAAGAAACTCCCCGACATCAACAAGTGACATGCGCATGTTAATGTAACTTGATACTGGAGGAGATGACAAGAGATAAAAAAGGGCGGCTAACTCAGTTGTGATCGTCAGTTCTTGGCAATATGAACTCCAAGCAGGTCTGTCTGCTCTTCGGATGCAGTATTCTTATGGCAAGTGTCTCCCATCAGTGGAGAATGTTCTTGACAGACTTAGAAAAAAAAAGAATTTCACAAATTAAATTGAGGAAAAATGTATCAACTTAAAGTCCCATCCTTCAGTTTATTGACTAATAGAACAAAAAAATTGTTCGCCTCCAGTTCTTGACAGCACCTGTCCGGACTACATTTGGATTGACATTTGAAGACTTCCTAACACAAGACCTCGGTGGTTCTGCAGCTTTTTCAAGCATGGTTTTCAACTTTTGCCTCGGATCTTGGTTCATTTCCGGTAATAAATTGTGTTTCCTGATTAAGTTTCTGTTCAAGCTGGCGTAAATCTTTTCTTTTTTCCCCAGGTCTATTCGGATCTCTTCTGACTCATAGAATTCCATGTCATTACATTGCTCTGATAGGCTCAATAGCATTGACAACCGGCGTGATTCTGAGCAGTTTTGCTTCTTCCTCATGGCACCTGTTCCTGACCTACAGCATTCTTGCTGGTAAGTGTCTTTTTTTTTTATAGGCAACGTTTTCTCTCATTTTTGCTCAGCTTCTAAATATAATTAAATTATTCAAATTCGGATAATCAAAATTAACATATACGCTCCATTTCACAGGCCTCGGAACAGGCTTCATCACTTCCCCAACATTCCTGGTGATTTGCAAAAGTTTTCCAGAGAATCGAGGTTTTGCGTTGGGTCTCTACGGGGTAGCTGCAACTTGTGGATCTTTTACACTACCACTGGTCCTCGGTTACATTCTTGAGCTCGCAACTCAAAGAACAACAATCCTGATACACGGGATTATGACAGGTTTTACGTTAATCGGCGCATGTCTTTTGTGGAAACCCGGGCAGCACAAAGAGTAAGTCCTGAATACGCATCAAAGTTCCATGGCAATAATTCCCCTTTCCTCAAGAGACTCAGGGATGAAATCTGCATCGAAGTACTTTTACCTGGAAAATCTCAAAGACTGGAGAATTTGTTGCCTCATCATTAGTGACTCGATATTCTGGATTGCACAGTCCAATTTCAACTACATGCTCCCTCTGCATTTTAAGGAGAAACCCAAGCTATTTGTGGCGCAGATGATGACATTGAGTACCGGGATATTGATCATAGGTCAACTGACAATCCCTATTTTGGGGGACCAGAGGCTTTTGAGGCCTGAAAAAGGGTACCTTATTGGACTTGCGTCATTTGGACTCGGATTAGCAGGTAATTGTGAATTTTCTCAAGGACTACTTCATTTACTCAAGTACCACGCACAGTTTCAAGTAAGATTCACATCAGGGTTTTTCAGTATAAAATTTTGATGAAGTTGTACAATGCATGTCCCATTTTTGTGACTCTAAAACCGCAATATTCAAAAAATAAGCACCGAAATTTGAATTCAAACATGGACTGAACATAAACTTGAAAAAAGTTCAATTGTTTCCATTAAAACAAGTTCCTTTGCTTACACTTGGTCCAAAATTGTCCGTTAAAGTCAATTATAATGCACACCTAAACTTCTACAACTTCTTGAAATATGTATACCCATGTATGATGCGCACCCACTTTTCCTTTCAATTTTGAGTTAAAAAATGTGCATGTGGTACTCAAGTAAACGCATGTACAGTACTTATTTTCTCAGCAAGTCTCTTCTGATAGGTCTTGGAGTCAGTGAAAGCACATGGTTGGGGATTTGCGCCATGGGACTAAGTTCTTTAAGCATTGCAGCTTGCAGAACCTTCTATCCCTTGTTTGTCGTGGAGAATTTTGGCCTAGACAAACTCCCTTCTATCCATGGCTACATCACTCTCCTCAAAGGATTTCTAGTTCTCGGAGTCGGCATTTCCTTTGGTGAGTAATGATTATATTATAAACAGATTTTGATGAATAGTCACATCTTTCTAGGCAAACTGAGGGAACATCAAAATGAAGATTCCGTGGGTCAATGCTTATTCTTGCTAGCAGGATTGACAGCACTGGGAACTATATGCTGGTCCACTTTGCTCCTGAAGATAAGACAAACTCAGGAAGTGTGATTGACGAAAAAAAAAAGCTTGAATAAATCACCTGAACCTATGAGCGAGCCTGGTTTTTTTTATCATTCCAAATTTCTCTCATGAAGTTTTAAGCAAAAATACACCTAGATGTGATGCGTATTTAATTTCAGCAACAAATAAGAATAACATCGTAAATCATATAAGTACAATCTCTGATAAAAGAAGTTGAACAATTTGTAATTTAAAATTCTAATCATATCTTTCTTTGACTGTTTTGTAACCCTCATCGATCCACTTCATCCAATATTGCCTCTGCAACATTCCTTCAGAATAATTGAGAGAACGCGAACTTGAACTCAGCAATATCCTCACGCACAGATTTAAAAATTATGAACACGATGATCAAAAAGTTATTTTTTTGAACCAATATTCAACCACTGGTTCCAAGCATCTGAACGTGGAGAAAAAGTTGAAGTTGTACTTGAATTTACTACAGGCTTAGCGCACTGCTGAAACTATGGACAACATGATTTTTTTTTAAACCCGGACTTTTGTGACTCGGGTAACTAGAATGAATTTGACTAGAACCAATCAAAATTAAGAAAATAAACCCTTGAGGAATTTCCTACCAATTCCGGAACGAAGTGCTCTGTTACGGTGACTCAAAACTAAGATGAGCAACGCCGAAAATATTTTGAGGAGCATATTTGTCTTTACAAATGCACAGTTAGGATAAAAATGAATTGAAGTTAGAGAAGGTTGAATAAAAGATTCACGACGCGTAAATATCTTAGGGGAAACCAATCTTGCTTCCTAAAAACCAAATATCTGTATCTTCGGGTGTTCGTTCGAGTGAGTTGAAATAAGCATCGTTCGAGTCATTAACGGGAAGTTTCGAGGAAACAAACATTAGAGAGCTAGGGATGCATAGTAGAGAAGCTGAGTTTGTCGAAAAGGGATTCACTTCCTCGTGAACTTGTTCATGTCCACGCCGGTCATTTGCTTCACCAAAATCGGCAGTCGAGACATGATCTCAATGACCTCGCCGGTGATCTTTGCCGCCCCGACTTCCCCGCCGCCGCTAGACACCATCGTGAGCTTCTTCGTCTGCGCCAACGGCGCCGCAATTTCCGCCGCTACTTTCGGCAGCGTTTCCAACATCATCTCCACCATGGCGGCTTCCTTGTACTCCTTCCAGGCATCCGCCTTTTTCGCCATCTGCTCGGCTTCTGCTTTGGCCCGGGCTTCGATGGCAAAGGCCTCGGCATCTCCTTTGAGTCTGATGGCTTCGGCTTTCGCCTCTGCTTCGAGGACGCAACGTTTTTGATTGGCCTCGGCGATCTTCTCCAACCGGTATTTTTCCGCCTCGGCGGGACGCTTAATGGTCGCCTCCAATTCTTTCAGCTTCCGTTGGATTTCTTGCTCTTGGACGTTGATGTCTTGCATGCGTTCAATGACTTTCACTTGCATTTCCTCGTCTTTGATGCGCTGGCGAGTTTTGGCCGCTTGAAGATCATATGACATTTCGGCTTCTGCTTTCTGAAATCAATTGAGTTGAGATCCTGCTCAATTTTTCGACAAAAAAGGCTACTGAAATCAGTGGCAGAATTATTTTAGATTTCCAACACGATACATTTGATAACAAGAAAAACTTTCCACTACATCGACAGGCTTTGCTTTCCAGAATCCGAGAAAGATGTCGACATAACAGTTACAATTGAACCTTGATAATTCTAACTGCCTTACGTCGAATGTTCGCAAGTCCCTCTGAAATCCCTTGAAATAAATGCATTAAACTCAAATGCATCCCCCTCGAACTTGCGGAACTCGAATTTCTAGGGGCTTCTTGGCTAATAATCTATTTTTATAGAAAAGAGAGAAGCAATAAATGTGAAAATTGAAGCGCTTCGTACGCAGTGAAAGACTAATTAGAAAAATAAACTCTTGCCTT